TTGTCAACAACAGCACGCGACGCAATTCGGCAGCGAGATCCAAAGCGCAGAGCCCCCACGCTTGCACGGTTGAAACGAGGACGCGCACGCTAGCAGCAGCCGAGCTGAGACTCAGATCAGATCTACCACCAGCTGCCGCACCGGCGGCGGAGGGAGAGGAGCTGGAGCGAGCTGAAACGAAACGTACCGTTCCTGGCCGGCGGTATCCCAAATCTGGGCCTTGACGACCTTGCCGTCGACCTGGAGGGAGCGGGTGGCGAACTCGACGCCGATGGTGGACTTGGACTCGAGGCTGAACTCGTTGCGCGTGAAGCGGGAGAGCAGGTTGGACTTGCCGACGCCGGAGTCGCCGATCAGGACCACCTTGAAGAGGTAGTCGTAGTCGTCCTCCGCCCGGTAGCCCGCCGCCATTGCTCCGCTCCGCGCCGCTCCGGGGCCCTCTCTGCTCTCGTCGTGCCGATCTGGTTTTGGGGCGAGAGAGAGTGGTGGGCAGGCCTGGTGCGGGGCGTGGGGAAAGGAAGAGGAGGAGCGGTGCGGTGCGGGCGCGTGGACTGCGGCGGTGGGTGATTTTGGTCGGGTGGTTTCCGTTTTCTCACGCCAGTGATAGCCGGTCCATGTTGTCAAGTTTGTCACGGCATTTCTCTAAGGTCGAACTGCATGAATTTTACGCAAAAGATCATCCCATTCTAATAAAAGAAATTAAAACATGTCGACACAGCGGCAACGTCTTCACTCCAGCTACAAGCAAGTCTAGAGTTTCGTAACAACGTTGTATATATATATATGCAATAAAAACAAAGTACTAGTATAATAACTCTTTCACTGTACCGCTCAGTAATGATTCCTCTAGAAGAGTTTTAGCATGTACTCTCTATGTTCCAAACTGGGGCGGAGCTAAGGATCGGCCACCCTAGGTCGCTGCTCGGGCTCCCTTGCTACTTGCGCTTTAGGCCCAAAGGCTTGGTGCAAAGATACATATCTGATAGGGGGAGGCGTGCTGCCATGGCTTCCACTATCACGCACGGGAAATCAAGAAGAGACGGAGAGGAGAGCGCTCAAGGGGACTGCGGCGCAGTGCTAAGAAGGGACGAGAAGACTGACAGGACACCATTACTCCATGACGGGGAGGTCGAAGCGACGCCCTGTGCACCAACCTCAACCCCAATCGCATCCTAGGTCAGCCCCAACTCTCCTTCATTATCTCTATCTTGCCTCTTTTCCAATCTCCATTCCAAGCTGATGGATTTGTCCTCCCCGAGCTACTGCTTCTTGTGAGAGCAAGGCTGCAAGCTGTGGCCGGTGGCCGGTGTCCGGCAAGGCAGAGCCGGTGACGGGTAGCACTAACATGAAGTTCCCAAACCCACAAGGCACAAGCGCCGCCCGTTGCCATTGAACATCGCCTACAAATAACGTTGCATTGGGTGCTGCTTGTGATAATCTTAGTTTGCATTTTGAGAAAAAAATTGAAAATGGTAGAGGGGAGGAGGTTGAGCCAACCAGAAAGTATTTAACAGAGCTAGTAAACAATCAGAAGAATTGTACCAAACTCATTTTACTTCTACTCTACATTGTTCAAGATCTCTCTTAAAGTAAGGCCTAGCTTTTCACGGGCAACGAATGTTCTTCCTCTTTGAACAAAGGCAATCTTCTAGAGTTGATAGATTTTCTAAAAGACAACAATGAAGAAGTCTGGAATTCCTATGATCGGGGAGGCTTAAATTCTAAGATGACTTCCTATGATATCCAAAAGGATCTTGCAAAGGTGCTGTGTAAAAGAATAACTAAAGCAATTATGGAAGAGATTGGTAATAGGCTATTCTCTGTTCTCATTGATGAATCACGTAACATATATCAGTAAAAGAGCAAATGATGTTATTTTAAGGTTAGCAACTAGTATATTGTGTTAGTTTTATCATAGTTATGTAATTCTATTACAATATTCAGTTTTAATCATGTTTTGTTTAATTGGTGTACTGTTGCTGGTACGTGAATTCTAAAGGGAATGTGGTTGAACGATTTCTTGCTCTTGTACATGTCAAAGACACTGCAACCGATAGGCATAAGTTATCAGTTTCTTGGATACCAGGTGTTGGGTATCGATATTAGGGATACCCAAAGCAAGGAAGTTAGCGCCAACGCTGACTTCCCCGGATGGCTCGAGACGTATTAAAAGGTCTCGCCCGACCTCGAGGCCGCGGGCTCCGTCTCGCCCGACTCCTTGGTGCCGGCTCTGTCTCGCCCGACCCCAAGGACGCAGGCTCCGTCTCGCCCGACCCCTTGGGTGCGGGCTCCATCTCGCCCGACCCCAAGGAAACGGTTTTCATCTCGCCCAAGGTCGCGGGCTCCGTCTCGCCCGACCTCGAGGACGCGGGTTCCGTCTCGTCCGACAGGGACCCATACCACCGCCAACCACTCCAGGTCCAAGCGTATGGGCCTGGGGCAAAACTCTGACGCCAGGGAAGAGGCTGTCACACCTCAATGTAACCCGTGGTCATGACGGGCCATACCTGGGGGTTCACATCAAGAATAGTGTCGGGCGTGGCGGTGCTGTTCTGCTTAATCCTCGTACGGACGCTGACAGACGCGTCAGTTTACCACGACGTCCACCGGGACAGAGTGGAACGCCATAACCGGCAGATGACACCTGTGCATGGCGCCAGTGACGAACAGGGCCGCGACATGGAGCCGTCCCTGTTGACATCTACAGGATCGGCGGGACCCGCATGAAGGAGAAGAAGGACCTGGCAACCCTGGAAGCCTTCTTCTCTCTCTCTCTCTTCTCCTTTTCCTCCTCTGTAACCCGCGCTTTCCCTTCGCCTATAAAAGGGGAAGCAGGGCGCCCCATGAAGGAAGGATCGGGATAGTGGGGGGAGATCGAGACAGGAGAGCACGACACGAGCACATGGCTGAGCGGCAAGCGAGCTCTCAGCATCCGTTCACTCCTTCCACCAGAGACTTGGGATCATCTCCCTCTCTCGCCTGTTTGTAACCCGTACTGCAAACCAAGTGCCGGTAACACGAGCAACAGCGAACTGGACGTAGGGACGTTCCGTCCGAACCAGTATAAACCCTTGTGTCCTCTGAAGACACCATTCGAGCCAGACACACAAATACAAATTTACTCGTCAGTGGTTCAAAAACACCGACACCAGGGCAAGGATATGATGGGGCTTGAATTTAATGGACTGCAAAAAAAAGATTCTAGATGAAAACCCATATGTGTTCCATGTCCATTGTTTTGCCATTACAGCTGGTTGTTGTTTCTTTTGCAAAGTGTTGCTCTTCTATCAATGATTCTTTTTGAGTATATATCTTGATTGTGACCACAAGTACATCTTGCAAGAGAAGGGACAAACTATATAGTTGAAAACCAGTGCCAAATACTCTGTGGTGTATTGAAACTGGTGAGGTGCCTACAGGAAGAGGCTTGAATAAAGAATTGAAACTGTCCTTGCTAGGCCTAGGGATACTAGATGGGGTTAACATCGGCCCTGTTCTGATGGACTACTTCAACGGTACTTTTTAGCGAAGCGAACAATATTTTCCTCCCATAGCATTTTAGTATAAGTCAAATTTTAGCGAAACGAACAGGGCCGATCATGTTACATTGGTTTAAGGCTTGAATCAAGAAATTGTCCTTGCTAAGCCTTGTCGCGTGTGCTACTCATTTGATCTAGTACTACTCTATCAATCCCAAGTTATAAGACGTTTTGGCTTTTGTAGGTACGTAGATTTTGCTATACACTTAGATATACACTCGTCTAGATACAAACTAAAAATAATGTATCTAAAAAATCAAAATGTCTTATATTTTGAAACGGAAAACACCGACCGTCTACCTACCAAAGTTTGGTTTATTGTGATGTGGAAGTGTGATTCAAATAGAGTTACGTGCACAGTAGGAAGAGAGAAATGGAAGAAAAAGAAATTTAAGGTGAGGGTTTTAGTAATCCGTTGGAGGAGGCAACAATACATTACTACTAATATTAGGATACTATCTTTTATGCAATTGAAGGAATGAACTATTGACAATCTGTTGGAGAGGCTCTAACCAACCAAGAGTCGGATGCGCATCACGTACGTTCAGGTACGTCAAAGCTTTTTGTCGCTGTTTAAGATCTGGTTGTATCATATATACCGGTGACTACCTACCATGCTGGATTCGTATAAGCTCCCCGTGAAGATTAATTGCAATCACGCTCTGGTTTGCACACTTCAATTTTAAGTAGCTTTACTTGACTACAACAACTTCGGACGACATGTATACTAGGGTAGTAGGAAGATGGAGCCAAACTAGCTTGGACGTACGACAAGGCATCCCCCGGGGCCCGGCTCCCTTAATTTTGCGAAAAAGTGGAATTTAATTTTCTGCATTCATGATTCTTAACTGAAAAAAATTAACGAACCTAACGTGATTTCTCACGAGTCACACCAGCTGTGCCTGTGTTCACAAGCTATCAACCTAGCTATCACAGTAATTAAGTCAGTAGGTTAGGTTGAACCATAAGAACAGTTTGCGATAACATATAAGAACACCGCGCGTACTAACGATTTTTTTTTTTTTGGTAAACCCGGCCTCTTCATCCGATTGAATCTCGGATCTAACGAGTCAGATCACATCAGCCCATGCATTATTCTCCATACATCCCGGGTGCGGAGTGATCGACCCGGGAAAGGACGTGAGATCATCGTTTTTTTTTTACAACAGACGTGAGATCATCGTTGATTAGCCTGTCCGCTCCAGTGCCAGGTGCGGTGGCTCAGGCTCACGATCGTGTCCCTACCGGACGGCCGGCTTGTCGCCCACCACAGGAGGCCGGGCTACACAGCAGTTGGTCGATACCACACCAATGCAAAAAGGTTCGGCTTGACTGTTGCCATACGTCCCGGTGAGGTGAACGCCTAGCTTAAAGCCCGCGAGCCCGCCGGCCTGGATCGAGATCCGCTCTGCTCCGAAAGGCAGCTCATAATTGCCAAGGAATTTCATTCAGTGCAAGAACATGGCGACGTGTAGGAGTACGTAGGGCGTGTTCTTTTCTACAGTAAGCAGGAACCAAAACATGAATTAAAATGGTGTTTGTTTTCGAGGACTAAAATGAACTAAAGAGGAGGAGAGAGACTGCGAGGGAGGAGAGAGAGAGGAAGGGATATGGGTTATTTAGTCCTAATTAACAGCCTCCCAAAATATTATTATATTTTAGTCCTAGTCTTGTTTTAGTCCCTGGCTTTTGATTAAAGGGACTAAAATTTAGTTCCTTTCTCCCCCGAAAAAGAACACGCCGTAGTTTGGCCAATCAGATGACAGGACTTGAAACTGCTCATATTGATTATTCGTTGTCACCGATTAACGTGGCTGCCATTAAGCGTGTAGCGCCCATGCTATTAATTAATTGCTATATCCTTGAATCAATGCAATCGATCGATCTCCTGCTAGCTTAGCTAGTAGATGTGAATGTGATGGAGGCTTCATCGTCACCTCCCTACCGCCATCAGCGGCAGTCTTTAGAATTCTCACATGACGCGGAGGTGGCTAGTTGGTCGATGGAGTGAAAGAGAGAAAGGGATCGGCCGCCGCACGAGGTGAGAGAGAAGAGGTGGCCTCGGAGTGGCCCCGCCCCACAGATCAATCATGCAAGAGATGCACAGCACAGATGCAAGCAGGCAGGAGGCTCTCCCCCACAGCTGCTTCTTCCTTGCAGGCCAGGCCGGAGGGAGAGGGATCGAATGGAGCCTCAGCCTGCCGGTCCTTTTCCCTTCAACCCACCGCGCGATCTGCCGCAAATCCTCCATGCTTTCCCTTCCCCCGCGGAAAACGAGAGATACTAGATATATTACCCTGCTGCTATACCGCAACCGCAACAGCCCACCCGCCGGTGCAAGTTCGTCGTGATTCCATCTCCTTTCTGATCATCAGCGCAATTCATAATGCCGGCGTCGTCGTCGTCGTCGCCCGAGACCGTGAGCTGCGGCTTCGCTCTGGAGGAGGATCCGTGGTCGCCCATGATGATCGGCGGCGACGACTTCTTCCTGGCGCAGCTGGTGCCGAGGACGTCTCGGACGGGCTCCTCGGCAAGTTCGCCGACACCAGCGCGTTCGACTTCGACTACGACCGCAGCGGGCTCTGGTCGCCGCTCGTGCCGCTGCGCCCCGAGGTCATGCTGCTCGCGCAGTCCCCGGCGGCCGCGGCGACGGCGGTGGCGCCGGAAGCGGAGGAAGGTGCGTGCTGCTCGGCGTGACAAGATGAGGGCAGCGGGGCTTTTGTTCGCCATAGCACTCCTGGTCCTGGTCTTTGTGCTTGCAGGTGCTCTGCGGCTGCTGGCGATGGTGGTGACGTGACGTGCAATGCTGCCTACGGACTGCAAATGTTCTGCTGCTGCTGAGAATCTTGGATTTCTTCATTCTTCTGCAATACACACACACAGAGACAGAGTCAATACGTACTGTACTGTGTATATCTGTCTATGAACGATGAGAAGCTGGGGACTGTATGTAACGTGTATATGTATGCATGCAGCGATGCAAGGTCCAAATGCCATGATTGTATAATGTAGTCACAATACATAGTACATTGCTTTTTCATATGCCAATTGGACACGAATCATTGTATCGTCATTTTAGCTTGGAGGCATCTCCAACATGGATGAATCCTGTAATTACGCTTGTTTTTCTAGGAAGTACTTTTTGGTCCACGTGGTATTAACCCTTGTTTTTTTAGAAAGTACTTTTTGGTCACATAGTATTATTGACTAATGGAAGCGTAGAATATTTCCAAGAGTTTCTTTTAAAAAATGCCAAATCATTAATAATATCAAGTCCACAAAATCAGTAGTAGCAAGCTAAGTCTTTTTATCATTTTTTTAGTAGTTTGCAATTTTTTTTTTGTTGCTAAAAAAATTAAACAAGATTTCCTCACGTGCCAACCTAAACCAGTCATCAGCCTAGGGCCACAACCGGTCCAAAAGAAACAAAGATTTCCTCACACCTTGTCAGCCTCATGCCACAACCGGCCCAAAAAGAAACAAAATTGGCCTGGTTTAAATCCAGGGCGTAAAGTTTTGGCACGTCACATCGAATGTCACATCGGGATGTTGCGTATGGGGTGTTCGGATACTAATAAAAAATAAATTACAGAATCCGTCAGTAATCCTCGAGACAAATTTATTAAGCCTAATTAACTCATCATTAGCACATATGTTAATGCAGCACCACATTGTCAAATCATGGACTAATTAGGCTTAAAAGATTCGTCTCGCAAATTAGTCACAAACTATGTAATTAGTTACTTTTTTAGTCTATATTTAATACTCTATTCATGTGTCCGAACATTCGATGGGATATAGAGTAAATTTTAAGGAGAGAAACTAAACATAGCCTTTTTTTTTTAAACAAAAACAAGGCCTTCATCACGCCCTGTCCTAAACATGTCATCAGCCTCGGCCACAACCGCCCAGTGCCTGGCATGGCTACAGTCGATGGGCGGCTAAGGCTGTGCCAACAGGTGATCCATTATGGAACCCAAATTTAAAATGGGTCTCAAACATAATACATATAGCCTCCAACAGAGTACTTATGTAAAAGACCTATTTTGAGTGACAGGAGAGACATAACCCAAATCTGAGTATCATCTCTCCTGGAGACCCATTTACAGAAAGAGTTGTCTTTTAGGTCTTATTATTGAATAAGACCAAAAATAAGTATTGAACTTTTTGTCTGTAGCATTATCTAGAAGACAAATGAATCTTATATTTTGAGTCGTAGTTGTTGGAGACAGTCTAAGGTAGGCCGGCTTCAAAGGCAGGGGAAACCAGGCGCTAACTTAAGAGTTCGGGAGCTTGAGGGTACTGGGGGTATATTTATACTTATGGTCATGTTTAACTTTTTGTACCCGGATTTTTGTTTGCTCTTTTTTGTTGTTGTTAAACATGTAATGCTCGTGTAACCTTTCTTTTATTATAAATAGGAATAGTAGAAAGTTCAGTAAGATGCGGGTGGAGTAAATACTCGCAACCTTTCTTCTATTATAAATAGGAATCGCAGCAAGCCAGGTAAGATAAGGGTGGAGTAAGTACTCACCAATGACGAAATACCCGATGGGTAAAGTTTAGTGCCCATATCTGCAAGATAGATTTTCAGTAAATTAGATAGAATCCTTTGGGTATGATTGGTTGCATGTACACCTCTTATCTTGGTCCTTTTTGAGCAATTTGCTCCTATTTGGTTACTAGAGGTACCACGCGCGTTGCTGCGGAAACTCTAACCTTTCACTTTCGAAATAGCTTATGAAAAACATACATTCCAAGAGTACGTATGGTTGAATATATTAATAACTCAAAACAATTGATGAAATTCATCGTGTAATATCATGTTAAAATGGTAGTGTTATTACTGCAGGATTTAAATAGTAAATAAAGTAGAACCAATATTGTGCATATATGCAGAGTGAACTGTGAAGTTACCGTGCATTTGTATGGGAGACTAACATAACAATAGATTAAGCATAGGAAGTGATGCGTACAGCAAGATAATAAATAACAAAAGCCTGACCATGATTCAATTGAATAGTGCATCCTGATTGAATGAATATCGCTTCGACATAATCTCTCAAAAAAAAAGCCACGTGGCAAGCGTGGGGAGCAACTCTAAAAAAAAATCTCTCCGCGCTGTCATCCATCTACAGCCTATTCGTTTGCTCATATACGATTGTGGATTATACGCGCTGTCATCCATCTACAGCCTATTCGCTTGCTCATATACGATCGTGGATTATAAGTTAAAACAGTATTTTTCTCTCACACTAAACCAGTCAGTAATAAAATAATCCACAATCATTTACGACGAAACGAACCTGCTGCTAGCCATCTGCTCCTCGCTTCCCGCTCCATGCTCCTCGACTGGCGAGATAGAGAGATCCTTGGGTGCCGCTCCCGTCTCACAACGCCTTGTGCTTTTAGCCCAAGCACGGGTTGTTTGTTCGCTCTGCAATAGGACGTTTGACACATACATACAATATTAAATATAGATTAATTATAAAATTAAATATATAGATTGAGATTAATTTACGAGACATTAAATATTAAATATAGATTAATTATGAAACTAAATATATAGATTGAGATTAATTTACGAGACGAATTTGTTAAACTTAATTAATTCATGATTTGACAATGTGGTGCTACAGTAAATATATGCTAATAACAAATTAATTAGGCTTAATAAATTGGTCTTATGGGATTACTGACGGATGAACTTATTTTTTATTAATATCCGAATATGCTGGGGCCACGACGACGGTGCTGCCTTCCCTTACAGCCCCGCTGGAGGCCACGACACCGATGTTGTTTGTCGGGTATTGATATTTGGGATACCCAAAGTAAGAAAGTTAGCGCCCATACTGACTTCCTCGGATGGGGCAAGACGAATTAAAAAGTCAAACCCAACCCCAAGGCCGCGGGCTCTGCCTCGTCCGACCGCGAGGCTATGGGGTCTCGCCCAAGGCCGCGGGCTCCGTCTCGTCCGACCTCGAGGACGCGGGCTCCGTCTCGCTCGACCCTAGGCCGCGGGATCCGTCTCGCCCGACCTCGAGGCCGCAGGCTCCGTCTCGCTCGAACCCTAGGCCGTGGGCTCCGTCTCGCCCGACCCCTTGGGTGCGGGCTTCGTCTCGCCCAACAGGGGGCCATACCACCGCCAACCACTTAGGTCCACGCGTATGGGCCTGAGTCAAAACCCTGACACCAAGGAAGAGACCGGCAGGCCTCGATGTAACCCGCGGCCATGACGGGCCATACCCGAGGATTCACATCAAGAACAGCGTCGGGCGTGCCTGTGCTATTCTGCCTAACCCTCGTACGAACGCTGATATACGCGTCAGTTCACCACGACGTCCGCTGGGACGAAATGGAACGCCATGACCGGCGGATGACACCTGCGCATGGCGCCAGTGACGAACAGGGTCACGACGTGGAGCCGTCCTTGTCGACATCTACAGGATCGGTGGGACCCGCATGAAGGAGTAGAAGGACCCGACGATCATGGAAGCCTTCTGTTCTCTCTCGTTCTTCTTTTCCTCCACTGTAACCCGCACTTTCCCTTCGCCTATAAAAGGGAAAGAAGGACGCCCCATGAAAAGAAAATTCAGATCCGCACGAGACCGAACCACGAGATAAAAACACAAGAGCACGACACGAACACATGTCCGAGGGACGATCGAGCTCTCAGCACCCGTTCACTCCTTCCATCAAAGACTTGGGATCATTTCCCTCTCTCGCCTGTTTATAACCCCTATTGCAAATCAAGTGCTGGTAACACGAGCAGCAGCAAACTGGACGTAGTGACGTTCTGCCCGAACCAGTATAAACCCTTGTGTCCTTCGAGCATACCATCCAAACCAGACACGCAAATACAAATTTATTCGTCGGTAGTCCGAAAACACCGACACTGCTCGCGGCGGCGACGCTGCCTTCCCCTGCAGCCGTGCTCGGGGCGACGACACCGGTGCTCCTCATGGCGGCGGCACTGCCTTCCCCTGCAGCCGAACTCGGGACCATGGCACTGGTGCTCTTGGCGATCCCCAACTTCAGGGCGACAGCACCGGTGCTGCTCGTGGCGGTGGCGCTGCTGCCTTCCCTGCAGCCGAACTTGGGACTGTGACGCAAGTGCTCTTGGCGTTCCGCAACTTCATGGACTTCGCGTAGCTCTAGGCATCCAACCTCGTCGCTGGTTCTTATAAATTAGCTGACAATTAATGGATGGGGATTTAGTGCATGCAGGTGGGAAGAAGAAACGGGAAGCCTGCGCATGCGGGGGAGGAGAAACTGCAAAACCACAAAAGAGATTGCAGACGATTCTTCCTATGAGGGCAGTTTCAATGGTGCATTGATGATGATTTCTATTCTCATTAAATGACTTGCCACGTAGGCAAAATGCTGACATGGCAACGTAATTAATGAAGAAAGAGAGCAAAAATCATAGAAATGGTTTCTTCATGAAGAAATCAGGTCTACTCTTGACCCAATGCACCAAGAAACCATGAAATCGCCGTTGGAGAGAAACCACCAGTTTCTAGGGAGCTCGTGTCACGCTCCCATTGGAGGAAGAAGATAGAGTTGGGAGAGAGAAAGATAAAATAATTATTACTCATAGAAACCATGGGTTGGAAAGCAGTACTTTTTTTTGTGCGGTATCCTATGTTATAGAAACTACTAGTTTTTTTCATTGGAACTGCCCTGAGGGCGTCCCAACAACCTGAGTAAATCGCCGGCTCCTGTGTTAGCAAGAAACAATAAAAAATGATGCAAGCTACTCCCTCTGTTCAGAAAAACATGCAAATATGGGTTGCG